TGCTGTGCCTGGACGACCGTCACGGATAGCGGCCGCGCTCAGGGACCACCCCTGTGGATATCACCCTGTGGTGTCGTGGAAAGTGCCACGCCTGCTGTTGCCTGACGACTCGTCACGGATAGCGGCCGCGCTCAGGGACCAACCCGTGCGCACTCTGGTGTCGAGAAAACGCCACGCCTGCTGTGCCCTGGACGACCGTCACGGATAGCGGCCGCGCTCAGGGACCACCCCGTGCGCACCCCCTTGTGGCGTCGAGAAAGCGCAACGCCTGCTGAGCCCTGGACGACCGTCACGGATGGCGGCCGCGCTCAGGGACCACCCCCTGCGGCATCCCCAAGGTGTCGAGAAATTGAAAAATTGCAACGCCCTGCTTGTCGCCTGGACGACCGTCCACGGATTGCGGCGCGCTCAGGGTCAACCCCCTGCCAATCCACCATGGTGTCGGAGGGAAAGTTGCCACGCCTGCTGTGCATGGACGACCGTCTAGGATAGAGGCCGCTGGTCAGGGACCACCACCTGCGCATCCCCCTATGGTGTCGAGAAAGTGCCACGCCTGCTGTTTGCTGGACGACGGGCTCGGATAGCGGCCGCGCTCAGGGACCACACCCTGCGCACCCCCTACAGTGTCGGGAAATGCCACTTCTGCTATGCCCTGGACGACCTGCTCGGATAGCGGCCGCGCTCAGGGACCACCCCCTGCGCACCCCCTATGGAATCGAGAAAGTGCCACGCCTACTATGCCCTGGACGACCGTCTCGGATAGCGGCCGCGCTCAGGGACCACCCCCTGCGCACCCCCTATGGTGTCGAGAAAGTGCCACGCCTGCTACGGCCTGGACGACCGGCGCGGATAGCGGCCGCGCTCGCGGACCACCCCTGCGCATCACCACATCACCCCCATGGTGTCGAGTAAAGTTTTTTTTTATGTTTTTGCCACGCCTGCTGTGCCTGGACGACCGTCGTGCATAGCGGCCGCGGTGAGAGACCACCCCCTGCGCACCCCCTTGCGGTGTCGAGAAAGTGCCACGCCTGCTGTGCCTGGACGACCGTCGTGCATAGCGGCCGAGCTCAGGGACCACCCCCTGCGCACCCCCTGTGGTGTCGAGAAAATGCCACGCCTGCTGTGCCTGGACGACCGTCGTGCATAGCGGCCGCGCTCAGGGACCACCCCCTGCGCGTTCCCTCGCAGGATCCTCGAGGGAAAGTGCCCTCGCCTGAACGGGATGGACGACCCGTCACCGGTTAGAAATAAATAATTTTATTAAAAAATAAAAAAGGCTCGCCGATCAGGGACCACCCCCTGCGCACCCCCTATCGAGAAAGTGCCACGCGTGCTATGCCTGGACGACTGGCACGGATAGCGGCCGCGCTCAGGGTCCACCCCCTGCGCACCCCCTATGGTGTCGAGAAAGTGCCACGCTTGCTATGCCTGGACGACTGGCACGGATAGCGGCCGCGCTCAGGGACCACCCCTTGCGCACCCCCTATAGTTTCGAGAAAGTGCCACGCCTGCTATGCCTGGACGACTGGCATGGATAGCGGCCGCGCTCAGGGACCACCCCCTGCGCAACCCCCTATGGTGTCGAGAAAGTGCAACGCCTGCTATGCCTGGACGACTAGCACGGATAGCGGCCGCGCTCAGGAGATGGACCACCCTCTTGCGATCCCCCATGGTTGTTCAGAAAAGTGCCACGCCTGCTGTGCCGGACGACCGTAACGGATGCGGCCGCGCTCAGAGACCCCCCCCTGCGCACCCGCAGACGAGCTCAGGGACCACCCCTGCGCACCCCCCTGTGTTTCATGCCCGCAGGAGAACTAGAAAGTGCCACACACGGGTGGTGTTGGGTAGTGTGGTGTGGTGTGGTGTGGTGTGGTGTGGTGTGGCGTGGTGTGGTGTGGTGCGATGTGGTGTGGTTGGTGTGGTGTGTGTACGAGCGAGAAGGAGGAGGTGAGGTGGAAACGCGGGTGTGACGCGGGTGTAGAGAAAATCAGAACCCCACTTAGAATGTGGGGAACAAGGTCTTCCGCTGGTCGGGGGCGGCCGCGCAGGAAGGCGACGCCGAGCTCGCGACCGCCGACGGCCGTGACTGGCCAGTCCTCCCGGAGGTCCGCTGCGACTGGCGAGCGCGCAAGCTGCGCTGGAGGAGCCACTGCGGTTTCCCCGACTGCCTTCGTCGAACGCGCAGACGCCGCGGCGCCCGGTTGGGCGCCGACGACGACGACGCGGCACGGGCGCGCGGGCCGCGGCGAGCCCATCTCAGGCTCACCCGCAGCAGGCGGTGAGCGGAGCTCGGGGCGCAGCGTCGTCGGCAGCGGCGCTTCTCACGGCCGGCGCGGCGTCGCCGTCCAGCATGGCCGACGCATCGCCCGCCCCCGCTGGCGAAGGAGATGGCGGAGACCCAGGCGCGGCAGGCGACGCAGGTCCGAGCGGCAGCGGCAGCGGCAGCGGAGGGCAAGCTGAAGCCCTTGTCCAGGCGCCGTAGCCGCGGCCGCCAAAGTTGCCCCCTCGGCGGGGCGCGGGCACCCACGACTCGCACGACCCATGGAGGGCTGGCACGCCAATTCTGCATCGAGCGCGGGCATTAGACGCAGAGCGCTAGGGTGGCTGGGCTCGCCGCGCAGAGTCCGACGGCGCCCGAGAAAGCGACGCAGAAGGTGGTCCTCGGAAGGTTGAAGCGCGGCCTCCAGCCTGCAGGGCCGGGGCCGATCGGGGCCCCGAGCCCTTGCGGCGCCTCCGCTGACGCCCGGGCTAGCAGGCACCTTCGTCTCCGCCGCGTTCTTCTCGGCGCGCGCGGCGCCGCGCCCGGCGCCCCCCGTCGGAGGCGCTCAATGAGCAGAATCCGGACCATGTGCGTAGGTTTGCCGACGCGTGGGATCGGGCTCCGACGCCACGGGCAAGGATTCCAGCCCATCCAAGGGCCAGGAGCGTGTGGAACGAGTCGCGCTGTTAATGGCTCGGGGCCTCGTGATGGCTTCCTCTTGTGGCCCGGCGCGCGTTGCAGCCCGTCTGCGCGCCTCGACGGCGCCCCGCGCCGGCGGCAGCGCTACGAGCGGAAGCCGAACCAGGTTTGTAGGCATCTGCTGGCGCGCGGGATCGGACTCCGATGCCCGCGGCAAAGCAGCGCGTGGCCAGCGCCGGTGGGGCCATGAGCTCCGTTGCCGGCTGGGCGCGTCGATTGACGCTCTCCAGCGTGCATGGCCAGCTTTGGCTGTCAAATTCGCGCGTCGGACGCGCGCACTGCGCGCCGCCGTCTGCCCGTTGATGGCAGGCCCGTGCCGTGGCATATCCCCTGTTCAATGTAGCCCCCTTGGCGCGTTCGCGGCAGTTCTGGCCCCCTCGTCAATGCCGCTTGGGCAATGCTAGCCTCTGGGCTCAGTGAGCTCTCGGCTCGGCGCATGCCGCGGGCTTTCTGCGCGACTCGACGGCGCCTGCGTCGGCGTTTCTGCTCCAGGCGGAGGCCGAGCCAGGCGCGCCGGCATCCGCTCACGCACGGGGTCGGACTCCGATGCCTACGACAAAGCAACAAGTCCAGTCGTGGGCAGGTGCCTTCGGAACGAGTTGCTCTGCTATTTGCGAGGCGTTTCGCTTTACTTTCTGTCAGTATGCAAGGGTCGTTCCACGCGCGGCTTCGCGCGTTGCGCGGAAGCCGAACCAGGTGCGTAGGCTCGCCGAAACACGGGATCGGGCTCCGACGGCACTGGCATAGCAACGGTTTCCTTCGCCGGGCCGGGAGCCCACGGATAGTTGCCGAGGTGTGTTGCCGCCCGCCTAGCGTGCGCAGTTTTGGCTCGGTGCCTTGGGGCATGGCCTCTCGCTCGGCGTGCCCGCCTCGCCCGTCGCTCAGCGCGCGCTGCCAGCCTCGGTCATGGGAGGCTGAGCCGTTGGCGTGGGTGGCTCGCGACCGACACTTTGAATCGGGCTCCGCGCCATCGCAGAGCAATGATGTCCAGCGCGTGGCCTCGTGCCGTGGGGACTGTTGCTCGGCTTTGGCTTTCATGCTCGCGCGTCGCAGGACGTGACTCTGAACGCCGCCGTCTGCTGGCTGTGGGCTTGTAGGCCCTTGCCGTGGCATGCGTGCTGTTCAATGGTTCAATGCAGCTGCGCTGGCGCGTTGCAGCTTGGTTGCGCACCAGCCCGCCTGTCATTGCACTGCCCTGTTTGTTTTTGTTGCGGGCTGATTCGCCGTGAATGCTCGGATGCGTTTTTTGCCGCCTCTTTCGGCCGGGGCAGCGGGCGGTTTCTAGGCATTCTGGTACATGTGCGAGGGCGCCTCAGGCACGAGACCGCGCGTTGCCGCGGCAGGGCCAAAGGGCAGTGTGAGGTGGGAGGTCCTAACCTCTTTAGACGCGTTGATCATCATCCTCACCATTATCCTGTTCATCCTCCTTCTCCTTCTCATCGTCTGCATCGTCATCATTGTGATTATGGCCATCATCATCATCAGCACCACCGCCATCACCATCAGCGGGTCGCTCCCGCCCGCGCGCGGGGCGGCCGAGCGGGGCCTGAACTCGCCCATTTCCCCCGCGCGGACGCCCATGAGGCCGAATGCCTATTTGGCGATGTTGGAGGGCCCCCACGGCCATCGAGCGCCGGCATGTTGCCAGGCGCTGGCGCGCCTTCCGGCTCGGCGCGCACTGCCGTTGGTGCAGAATGATCTGGAGGGCGCGCGCATGCGGCTGCTTGGGCGCCTGTTCCGAAGCATTGATGCGGTCCGCGTGCGGCGCTGGTGGCTGAACCTCGTGGCCGACGACGAGCGGAGGGCGAACCTGCTGGTTCCACGCGGGGAGGGGCAACGGTACTTTCTGGCTAGCGATGTCGCACCAGAGCTGGATGCAAGCCAGCGCGGCGTCATGGCAGATGGCCACGCGCCGCCTGCAATGAGCTGGTGTGGTGGAAAACGCGAGCGAGACCAAACGCGACTGCGGCGAGCCGTTCGGCCGCCGCGCAGCCCACGCTTTCGCACGCTCCCGTAGCGCCGCCCGCCTGCGAGCACACAGGAACCGTGCGCGGCTTCGAGGACGAGTTGCGCGCCGCAGGGGCGGTCGTGGACATCGAGCGCCGGATTCCCGAGCTGTATCAGATCAGGCCCGACGGGTCAATATGCCAGGTGGTCATGGGTTTCGTTGTTCGTTGGTTTCTTCGCGACCGCTCAGCGGGGGTGGGTAGATTTCAACTTCGGGACCCCGTTCTACAGTTCCTTGCCCACGGTCAGCCGGATCGCCAGCGCAGCGGCGGCGGCTAGTGGATCGCGCCAAGGCGAAACGCTACGGCGACGCTGTCCACAGCGTGGCGGTCGAGGCTGGCGGGCGCGTCAGCGAGGATGCGGCGACGGTCATCGTCGAGTTCGCTGCCGCGTCGCGGCTGCACGGCCGCCCCTTGCAGAGCGGCCGCCGGGACACGACGGCGTGCGCGTTCGGGGAGCGCATCAGCACGATAGTCATGCTGGGATGCGCCCGCGCGACGCTGGCGGCGCTGGGGCACTGATCTCCCTCGCGCGCTCCGTCGGCGAAGCAGGTCTGGAGTCCGCGATCAGGAGGCGCCCAGACCGCCATCATCACAATCAGCAACAGGATCACCATCATATATCATCACCCATTTACGTTCGTCATTTCCCCATCATCGTCCTTTATCATCCTCCTTCCTCACCGCCCTTCATCATCATCCTTCACCACTTTTCTCTGACTCGTCCCTCCTCCCCTTTTCCTCATTCCTCGCCGTTCACAGCGCTGCGGCTTCAGACGATCCGTCGTGTTGCGTCGACCGACCTCGTCCTCCTCCTGACGGGAGCCCTGGCGGCACCGCCGGGCAGCTCGAGTCCGACTGTCCTGCCCTTGTCTTGCTACCCCACCCCCTGCGTCGTCGTCCTCCTTCTCCTCCCCCTCCTCGCTCCTGCTCCTTCCCGCCGCCCTCCCTCCTCCCACCGCCCTCTTCCGCAAGGCCCCAGAGGTTTCCCGGGTCCCGGAAGCCTCACTGGCCTCCGCCTGGAGCTGCTCGGGAGGCTCCCGAAGGCTGCCTCCGAAGGCCGGCGAGGGCCCTCCGCCCGCGTGATCCACAGGTTTCTGACCTCGACAAGAGCAGCAGCCAGTCCGGCCAGGCGCCCGCCCTACGCCAGCGCCCCCCCGACTCTGAGAGGGCGCCGTCCTCGTTCGTGTCGGCCCGGGGGCGGCGCCTGCTCAGGGCCAGCGTACTTCTCCGGATGCCCCCTGCCCTGGTCCTTCCTTCCCTGAGATTCGCCTTGCTTCCCCTGGTTTCGGGCTGGATCCATCACATATCGATCCGGCTCGAAGATTATACGGGAAGATGGGGTCTAGGGCCTCTAGGGTTTAGGGAACCGGTCGCGATTTTCCGCGATGTTGCAATTTGTTCGCAACGTCGGATCTCAGGGTTCTTCTCCTTTCCTCGTCCATCTCCTCCTCATCCTCCCCATCCTCCTCCTCCTCCGCCCTTCCCCCCCTTCTCCTCTTCTCCACTCTCCTTCCTCCCGCAACAACGACCGTTACCGGGGGGAGGGGATCGGTAACGTCTCGAGTCGCGCCGGCGCCGTCTGGGAATTAGCTACCCCTAGCCGTTCCCACACGTCGCCATGGCCACTGCGAGTCGCGACGTTACTGCGGAGGGGAAAGGGGGGCGTCCCTGGTAACGGGCGTTGTCGCGCTAGTCCGTCTCATCTTCCTCCTCTCCTCTTCCACCTGGACAGGTCCTGGACAAGTTTTATATAGCTCAGCGCTCCCTCGAACCCGATTGAGTGAGTGCCGAGGGGGAGAAAGGGAGGGTGCCCAAGAAAAGCAGGGGTGGCCGAAGTCCCAGGAGAGGATCTAGGGGCAGGCCTTCCTTCCTGGTCGTGTCGTCCTCCGCTGCTGCTTCTCCTCCTCCTCCAAACCGATTCGATTCCGACTCTGGATCCGATGCACGTTCCGATCCGACCCGATGTCCTGGTTCGATGACGATTGATACTGCCAATCGCTTTTCATGGGTATTCGAAGTTGAACGTGATTCCACAAATGGTCGTCAGCTTCCCGGTGTGAGGGCCAGCTAGATTTCAACGAGTTCTTGGAGATCATGACCGCCAAGATGAGCGAGAAGGCGGCCGAGTTAAGAGCCTCATTGCAGTAAAGGCGATGATATGAGTGATACAGGCTGATATCAGCATAGTTGCACGGCCGCAATAGGGCCCTGTTAGAATCCCGTCAAACGGGAGCTTTGGTCCCTTACCTCCGGGGAAGTCGGAGGGCGTAGTTGAATATCTAGGGAGAGGACATCTCGGGAGGAGGGTCAATTCTTGACGCTTCGCGTATCCCCACCAGACGTCCACCTCGTCTTTGTGGGGTATGCCTCACGGCATGCACCGAATTTCTCGACCTTTTGTCAGACTGCTCGTGCACGAGCTTCCCTGGATGCCCCCAGGTGTCAGGCTCCCACGCAGCCCCGCCGCGGCTTGGTGAGTGGGCCGGCCGGCTTGCGGCGCGTCTTGTAGCTAATTAGCCATGTTCGCCGCCCCGGACTTTGCTTTCGCCGCCTGCGCTCTTCGCTCGCGGCCGCGACCGAAAAAACATCCCCACCAGAGTCCGTCCCCCCCTGGCTCAAGTCGCTCTGGCTCGAGGTTGGTCGGCGCGACCTGGGTCCGCCGCCTCCAGGGCCGGCCGGATGGAACCGCCCTCGGCGCGGCGGCGGCGGCAGCGGCGGGCTGCTGCCGCTGCCGCCAGCGGCCCGGGCGCCGCGGCCGCCGCTGGCGCCGCCGACGCCCCCCGCGCCGCTGCGGCTGCGGCCGCCGCCGCCGCCGCTTGGCGCGGCCCTGGGCGCGGCCGCTGCCGCCTGCCCGGCCGCCGCAGCCGCGCCGATGCGGCGCGGGCCCTGGGCGCCGCGGAGGCCGCGGCGGTCGCCGGCCTGTGGCCGGCCGTCGCCGCTGGGGCCCGGCGCCTGCTGGCCGCGCGCGCGGCCGCGCCCCCCGCTGCCGCGGTCCGCCCCTCTGCGGCGGCCGCGGGCAGCTCCGCGTCGGCGGCAGCCGCCGCGCCGGGTGCCGCCTCGGCCGCTGCGGCCGCCCCCGCCGACGGCCTGCCCCACGCCCAGCCCGTTGACCAGCCCCTCGCCGGCGGACACTGCGGGGCACCGACCTTCGGGCCAACCTGCTGGGCGTGCGGCGCGTGGTCCCCAGCAGAGTGTCGCCTCCACCCGCGGCCCAACATAGCGGGAGGCTGGGTGGCCGCGCCGAGCCGCGTGGACGCGGGTTGCAACACCGACGCTGCGGCGGGCGAGGTGCAGGATATCGTCGACAACAACAGCAGCAGCAGCAGCAGCCCCCTGGTAACTGCCCCCAGGTGTCAGCAGCAGCATCCTCACAGCTCTGACAGACAGAAAGAGGCTCCCCTGCACCCTTGCAGCCCTGTGTCCTTTGACGAACAAGGTACCCTTCCTGGCATCCCCCTGGTACAAAGCGACCAGACGGCCATCAGCCGTGATCCTCACAACTCTGACAGTAAAATGGGCCCCGTTAGGGCAGAAAGAAGCCGTTATGTCTCGAGCCCCTGCCTTTTCCCTGGCAGCCAGTTAGAGCACGGATCACAACAGCGCCCGATGGCTGTGACCCGCGACCGCCCAGGGGGCGTCGGTGCCTGGCCTTCGGGGGGCCCTCCTCGTCGCCGCGGCTGAACGCAGCTCGGGAAGCGGGTGCTTTTGGAGCCCGTGAGGGGTCCGGACATCGACTGGAGGGTGCCACCGCGGGAAGGCGCAATCTCTCCCGATGGAGCGCAGGTACACAGCCTGGGTGGGCCCATGGAGATGCAGTGCGTTCAGACGGCCATCAGCCGCGACCCTGGCATCCATCTGGGGCAACAAGAGTCGATGGCCATCAGCCGCAACCCTGGCGACGAAGGGTCCGCGAGAGCCCAAGGCACTCTTACATCCCAGTGCCCGAGCCAATCTCGCAACTCTAACTGTCCGAAAGAGGTTTCCTTGCACCCTTGCAGCCCTGTGTCCGTTGGCGAACGAGGCACCCTTGCTTCCCCGTGCCCAAGCCCTCACGCCTTCGCGGGCACCCCCGGCGGCCAGCAGACCACTCGAAGAGAAACCGAGCCCGGAGCGGTTGCGACGTCGGACTCACAAGGAGAAGCTGGGTACGTTAGGCCAGAAGGCAGTCAGGAGGTCACGTCGGAACAAGCAGCTTTCAGATGCAGCAGTCCCAGGGCTCGCTTCGATTCCTCCGATTCGATTCGATTCGATTTCGATGGATTCCGATTCCGAATCGATTCGACTTGGGATTCCGATTTGGGTTCCGATTTCTCATTGGAGGCCTACTAGCCTGCCGATTTCCGACGATTCGACGTTTTCCGACTCGGCTGCCGATTTCCGCCGATCCGATTCATTTCGATCGCCGATTCGACTTGTCGATTCGATTCTGGGCGCTCCTGCAGTCCTTCGAGCGAGCCACAGGCGGAAACGGGCGCTCCTACAGCTCCTCACTCCCGTCAGCGCCCCTGGGTCGGAGTTTTGGTGGAGGCCGAAGGCGCGCCTGAAACGGCGCCCACCCCCAGCGACGGCATCGCGGCGGCAGTTCGGAAGGCCGCAGAGAGAGCGCCCGAAAACGGAGACCCACCACGCATAGAAGAGAACCAGGGTGCCGTAAATCCAGGAGCGGCCGTCAGCTGCTACAGTTTTCGCGTCGGGTGCGCGGGCGTAGGTGCGACTGACCGTGGCCCAGGGCATTCGCGACTGGAGGGCTCGCCTGACTCCAGGATGTACGCGCGGGCCGCAGACGGGCGCGTCTTCGCGGTCGGCGCAGACGCTCCGAGCCCCCCCCGTGGCCGACGGCAGATATGGAGCCCGCTACCTGGAGAGTCTGGGGATGTCGTCGCACCTGGTTGAGGGCGAGACCCAGCGACGCCTCGCTGCGACTCCGCCTGCCGCCGCCCCTGGTGCTTTCGAAGCCTCCTCGCGGGGGAGCAACGGACCTGCCTGGCAGAGACAGGACGACGAGGCCACCCGCCAGTTTGTCGACAGAAACCCCTTCGCGCCCATTCGGTTTCTTTTCCCTAGCAGCGGGCGGACGGCGAACCGCTGCCCCTCCCTCTCGAAGCCCGGGCCTCGCCGGGGAAGGCGACATCTGCCCCGACAGAAGCGGTGTCTGACAACGTGCCCGCGCCCGCTGCGACCCACGGCACTCCCGCATCGGACGATAGCCTCTCGGCGACAGGTGCGGGCGCGCCAGCGAGCGTGGACAGGCGCAGGTGTGGAGGCGAACGCCAGCGAGAGGGGCTCGCCCCCGCATGTCGCAATGCAGCGTTCCTTTCTGCCCCAGCTGCCGGAGGCGACCCGGCCCCTGCCTGGCGGCCAACCCCGCCGCCCGCTCCGGCCCGCGTGGCCTCGCCAGGTGCCCCGGCCCCAGAAGGCACCGCGCCGTGCGAAGCCACGGGCGACTCTGTCGACGGACGCCGGGATGGGTCTGACGATTCTGGGGGCCGGGCGGCAGCGCGCGC